CCCCCTCGCCCCCCCCCGCCCTTGCCGGCGCCACTTCTATAGTCATTAAACATTTGAAAATTGATTTAAATCCTAATTAAGAACGAACTATGCGACTATAAAAATAGATATTTCGTTTTTCGACCTCTTCAGTTCGTCGCCATATTGACAAAAAATAACCTAAAACTTCATATTACATTGATGAATGTCGTCAAATACTCAAATGTCAATACTTGGTGTAACAAAAACAAAAAATAACAACACAATAATCTTAAATTCAGAGATTTGCTCAAGAATCAAGATTTCCTTCGGGGCATACAAAGGTTTGAAAGACTTGAAATATAAATACCAGAAATTATATTGCATATATTTCTCGATGAAGAGATTTGTTTTGAATGCGAACAATTCATAGATTATATTTAACTAGAAATAGTATTTCGAAAGTTATTAAGCACAAAAGATGAATTGCGTTTATTTTGATACACCCTGTAGTATTGGTTTAGGTCTTGAAAACAACCAAAAAGTTACAGCGAGAAGCAACAGCCAATTAGAGACTGAAGTGAACGAGCGTCGGTGGGTTATTAAATTCATTGAACTAACTTGGCAAGGGAAATCCCCAAGAATGAAACCAGAGAAGTTCGTCAAGTCAAAGGTCAATACGTGTTCGTTTCACCTTAAAAGGACATTAATTTGGAATAATCATGCAATATATAAAACTATACGTATGCGTGCATTTTCATCTATAAAAGTGCTAAAATGTCGCTTATGATTGAAAAAATGCCATTACATACATTACCTCTATCTCTTTCTCACTCGCCCGGATTTTAGCATGTTCGTCTAATTGTTGGTCGATCGGCTTCTGCTTCAGCCAGATTGAATATCCCTCGGAGGCAAGTCTGTGACCATCGCTGTTCTGGTGCGTCGTAAAGGTTTTCGGTTTCTTCCAATTTGAAAATCCGTCGGTAATGAACGCCTTCTCGGACCTACTGCACATCTACAACAAGGGAATTTGATTTGACTGTGCACTGATGAATTTAAGATATTAAAGTTATATCATACTATAATTTATATAAAAATTACGAAAATTTTAAAAGGAGACGTGCAAAATATAAGCTGTTACAGTCCACATCGGTCCAGTTTGACCAGTTACCGTTGGTATAAAAGATCTCACCTGGCGATTAAACGTGCGACAAAAGAAACAAAATGCTCTGTCTGTCTTCTTAGAGTATTCAAGCCACTTGAAATTTTCATACCAAGCTGTAAGGAATCTCCTACCATTGCTATTTCTTGGGAATGTAAAATCTTTTGGTTGACAAGGACCCTTTGATATAACATAATTTCTCGCATTTCGATTGGAAGGTATCGGGGACGAAGGATCTTGGTCATAAGTGCTAAAATCGAATGACTGTGACTCGGCCATTCTGAACATTAACTGAATAAACTGTAGTGCCACTCACGCGATTTTGTTTAAGCGCAAAATATGCTAATGCACGTATTGGACTTATGACTGTTGGGCTGGAACATTGATAAAATTTATTTTTAGATAAATAATCATATTATTGCCTCGCCTAGATTTAATCTAACGTAATGGCAACACATTTGAATTTCCTGTTTTGCGCGTTGACATTTTCACTAATATATAGTTTAATTAACGCCTATACATATTAAGCATACTTAAAACCCCTTATTATATTCAGTCTTCGCTTTGTAGCATCTATTCTTTAATAATTTTTATGGTTGATTTGAAGTTTTCAATTATATATTATATATTAAATATAAATATTAGTATTTAGTATCTCGAGTATTTTCTCGGCATACGATCTTGCACATCGAATTCGACGATGTGATAACGTATACTTGCGTTAATAGATAGCGTGAGTGAATCTTAAGTGCGGGTACGAAATTCAATGGAGGTCAATATGCTGATTGACGTATCAAGCACTGTAAGCACATGGTCGACGTAATATTTCATACGTCATTGGCGAATAATTATGACACTCGCTCGTGATATTTTAATTGTGTTGAGTATAAGTAAAAGGCAACTAGTCAGAGCCTTTAATTAAGTTTAGTAGATACCGCAAGTTACGCATTAGCCATTACACGCAACCGTACACTTGACAACCAA